CACATAGTGACAGAACCAAGGTTTGGACCAGATTCTGACCAGCTCCAAAGCTCTACACTGTCTCTGTATTTCAAAGGGAGGTCAGCACCATATTATTTCAGGACCCAGCTCAGTGCTAAATACACAGTGGGCCTTCGACAAATACTCCATTGTTTTACTTTAGGTGCATGTCATACCTCTTTAAGTGAACTATGAGCTCCTCCAGCGAATAATTGATTTCTTGCATCCCCAGTGAGTGCCTTGCAAATTGCCAGGCACAAAGCAAAGGCCATAATGAATGAATAAATATATAGATCAACAGAAAACAAATAAATACGATTCCCTGAATTATAGACAGTAGCCAATTGTGCAGGATATGATAACCTAGCCGTCTGAAAATATTTTAGAATTACAGATTGAGCAGCCTAAAAAAAGCAATAATATTTATGATTGTCATTGGCATATACAAGTTGATTTCACCTCTTTTGTCTCATTTGGTCCTTGCCACTGCCTTAGTTGAAAATCAAGGCAATGACTGATCATCCTCCCCACTTGAAAGATTAAAAGATAGAGGCTGAGAGGCTTTAGTGGCATATGATGCTGTCCTTTCCCACCCAGAGGGCATACAGCCTCTATTCATATACTTCCGGGGACAGGAAAATCACTAGCAGGTCCCATTCTCTGGGTGAAGACTTTGGAGACCCAGAAGGATTGAGACCTATTGCTCTTTCAACCCCACATTTAGGTTCCAGGACTGTCAGAGCTGACCTAACCAACTCCATCCCAGAACCAGTGGGGTAACTGAGGTTTTATGGGTTGGGATTCACACAAACTGCACTTGTATTAATATGACCTGAGTCAGCTTCTGCTGTGGCATTGTGCTGTTGTTTCATGATGAACATGGAGGCAGCTCTGACCCTCAGGTCTTCTGCCTTAGCTTGAGGGTGAGGTACATCCCTGGCACTCACCACAGGGCTTGGCGCATACTAAGTGCTCTGTAAGCAGTGGCTGAAAGAATGACTAAGCATGGAAGGGAAGGAAAGGGTTGAGGCTGGGCTGAGGTTGGGGTTGGGGTGAGGATTAAGGTTTGAGGTTGAAGTCTGAATGTAGGTCTAGATAATATTTGGAGTCAGGATGTGAGATTAGAGCTGAAGTGGGACTGCAGGCAGGATGGAGGAGGAAATTGAGGCTGAGGATAGAATGGGAACTGGGATCATTATTCATGAGTGGGTGAAGTCAGGGATGAGGGTGGTATTGACATTAGGAAGGGGATCCTGGTGAGCACTTGGATGAGGATTGGGGTGGAGTTTGGGTTTCCTGTGAATGTTTGAGGATGGAAGTTTACTGTTAGGATGGGGGTTGGTATGTGATCTGGGCTGGGTTGAGGGTGGTGGTAGAATGAAGTTGGAGTGGGAATAGAGTGAGGGTTGTTTTGGGGTAGAGTTAAGGCGAGGATCAAGCATGGATTTATATGATGGTTGGGGTCAGGACGAGGGAACAGAGCTAAGATGGTGTTTCAGGGGGAGGTTGGGTTGGTGATAAGGTGAGAGTAAAGGTCGGTATTGGGCATGGGGGGGTAGGGCTGGTATGGGGGGGTTGGTGCTGATGTTCATGTGGGCACTTGGATGAAGGTTGAGGCTCAGCCGGAGCTGGGCCGAGGCTGAGACGAGGGGGCCAAGACCCCTGCGGGGTTCAAGGTGGGGTTAGGGCCAGGGCCGGTACCTGAGCCACCACATGTAGCTGTGCTCGTAGGGGAAGAAGCTGTGCGGGTCGTCGCAGCAGTACTTGTGGTCGCGGAAGCCGCAGCAGAAGACGGCGGCCGCCTCGCCCCCCGGCCGCGGGCAGCTGAAGCCGCGCACCACCTCCTGCTCCGCGCTCACGTAGCTCGTGCAGGCACCGCTCATCGCGCCCCGCGCCCGGCCCGCCGCCACCTCGGGCCACCAGACGGCTGGCGACAGGAGGGCCGGGAGAGCGAGGGACTGGCCGAGACGGCAGAGAGCCTGAGAAGGAGACGGAGAGACAGAGGGGCAGAGAGAAGCAGCGACAGAGACACACACAGACTGAGAAAGACGCAGCGCCGGGCCCGGGGACGCAGCGGTTAAGACCTAGAGCCCCCGAGGACGGAGTGGCTACCAGGTACGCTGACAAGGCGCGGCGGGAGGGGAGATGCAGGAGGCAGAGGAG